ATGATACATCTGTTGTATGTACTATACATGCATGGGTCAAAAGGAGACACTTGCATGTGGAAGGCACTGAAAACTTTAAACTTTAAATTMATGCTTTAAGTTCATTTTAACAGTCAGAGAGTAAAGTTTTGTTCTACGAACTTCAAGCTAATTTACTTTGTGTRCTTTAGAGAGATTTGTATATCTTTTGAATCAATTGCTGTCCATGAACTATTTGGTGAGGACAAAGCTTCATTCATTTTTACACTTAAACAATCAGTTGAAATAGAACAACTTGACATAATTAAGCTGAGTAAATTGAACACATAATTTTTTAGAGTACAGATGTTGCATTTTACCCAAATTCCAGTAAATTATTGTATTAATTGGATCCTAAAGAATGTGGTTTTCTTAAAAAAATAAAACATTGATTTTCTTTACTTGACTAAACTGAAAATTTTAAATAGAAAATAAAAATCTGCATTTTTACACTGTTACATTTAGCAGAACCCATCAAACACTAAACCTAGAATCTACATAATTACTGACATAAGTAATGCCAAATTACGTGTAGGTGGTGTTCAGTGTTAGGTCACTTCTGATTAGGCCTGTAAAGTTGTTTTGTTAGTAATAAAATTTGCATTGGAGCAACAGTTTCCAGCGTAAATTGATTGTATCAAGTTAAATATAATTTCATAATGAGCAGCATAGGGCAGATTTAGCACTGGACAAATCTAATGTTTATGACTGTGGCTTTGAAGATGAAAGTATAAAAAATATTTGCTTATTTTACAGTAAATGTTCYAGTTTAAAACCAGAACCTCTCTGAATTTTTCATTTTTAAAACTTAACATGTATAAGCCCTGTTTTTAGTTTTATGCATTATAGCACAGTTTATACATATAKGTATAGTATGAACTCTAGATTTATTGTAATGTACAACCGTTTTTGAAAATGAAGGGACATTTTAAGTCAATGATTTCCAAAACAGGCATTAAAAATGCACGGTTTTATTGTCTGAAATGCTTTTTTAAATGTAATAAAACATTGTTTTATTTTTTCAGAACTTGTGTAGATTTCTCCCCCTCATCTTTCATTGTTCAGTTTTTAACTGGACTAAAATATYCAGTATATTTGCAGCAGTACTGAAAATGTGTCATAAACTTTGAATTATTCTGTAGTCATTCTTCAAATAACACAAAAATATACAGGAATTTTAAGACATATTTGATACTTTTTTGATCATTATTAGAAAAAACAACTGTTATGATACTATGCATGGTGAACTGTATTCCTCTTTGTGCTTGTTAAAAACTCTCCATACTTACAACTCAATTATCTCACAAGGAGGGAGGCTGCAAAAATCAGTCTGCATAAAACAACCTACAAGCTCAAATGAGCTGTGGTACAGAGCCAACAGAGCAATGCTGCCCGTCAGTTTTCCTCCCTTTCTCCCCTTCTTGGAAATGAATGAAGTCCCCTGAAGCCGGTGACTTCCCCGTCTCCCCAAACTCTCTCCAACATGGACTGGTGGTGCAGAAGCACTGGCTGATTAGCATGCAGTAATGATGGTGAGCTGGGCTCCATTGTTCTAACACCTCCCCTCTCCTCCGCACCAATCTGTCACCATTCAGTGGGCTAGAGCTGCCTCAAATGCTTCCCTCCACAAATGAGATGGATAATTAGTTGCCCCTCACGAATGCTGCACTCTTCTCACCCCTGATTGCTTTCACCTTCTTGCTCCTGGCAATTTTGACACCTTGTAATCAGCCTGCTACTTCTCCATCTCAATCCATACCCTACTTATTTTTTTATTTTATTTTATTTTTTTGTGCCCCACTCTTTATATTTTTTATAGCGCTTAAATGTTTTTCAAACCTACTAGCTTTGGAATAAATGTCCCAAAGAGAATAACGAATATATATATATATACAGTATATATAATGGCAATGACAATGCCTTGAAGCAGCAGGTATAGTACACATTACTGTATACAGAAATGAGTAGTGTACGGAAACAAACACATAAAGGGAAAAAAATTCGAGCTGTCAGTACGAGTTTCCTCTTCCAAATAACAACGAATGACAACATAATTATGAGCAAGCAGCTGTTCATGATCCCAGAGAGAAAAGCATGCAGGCTGCACAATGTTCGAATTTTCATAGATTAAGGAGACAGGATCATTAGGGATATGAATTTGCCAAAAAAAAAAAAAAAGAAAAGAAAAATCTGAATAAATTCTTCCCCTGTGTGTTCAAGATTTGATGTAAAAAAAATTGAATTATGTGGTTTATGTCACTCTAGCATAAACACTCATTTTGTTTGACACATTACATTACATCAATATGTAATATTCACCTTTGTATACACACCAAATGGTACGTATTTTCACTCTTTCCTGGTATGTGGATGTCGTGTTGAAATAGTGCTTCTGTATGTTATCCTAATGACTCATTAGTTGGGAATAGTTGAAAGCATGATAACAGCCCATTTTTACACCCATTTGTGCTATTTATAAGAGGGAAGCAAAAATTATTTCAGGTTGAAATAAATCAATCAGTCTGTTAACAGTATTTGATTATTGGAAGTGAGTTACTGTATAAATAACTGTCATTTGTGAAGAAGTACATGGGATTTTTACTGAAACTTGAATTGTAGAATTATTGGATGAAATTCTGCAGCTGATTACCAGTCAGTTCAAGTTGGCTACCAGAGCTAATCAACTCTAACAAGAACAAAAGTGATAAGTCAGTCAACAACTACTCTAACAGTTGCATATTGTGATATTGTGTGAGATTTTGAGAAAGTACTCCATTACAGTACTTGTTTTTTTGAGGATCTCATTAYATGCCAATTTCTCTCATCATGAAAGGAGTTGTTTATGCACTCTAAAAATGAAGCGTTGACTTTATTTAACCAAGTCATGTCAACTGGTTCAACTAAACCGAGTTGAGCAAATTGAGAAACTCATTTTAGCGGAAGCAATTGACCTAACTTTGGTAAAGTCAACAGTTCATTTGTTATAGAGTATGTGGAAGTGCTTTTACTTTTACTTTMCCAATAATTGTGAGTCGTTTGATGACTTTTACTGAAGTACTGTTCTTATCAGTGAAATTAATGTCTACCAAAATCATTTTCTGTTAAGTTACTTTTACTTAGTCATTTTTTACACCTCTAAGTTTTAAGAATAATTTTTAAAGCTTTCACCAAAACGAATACAACTCTATCATGTCTCAACATGAGATAAATATATTTATCTAAAACTGTGGTTTCAAGGAAATTGTACCTTTCAAATTTTAGATAATTGCGCTTACATTAAAAAATATTTGAATGCTGCACATCATATAACATATAGAAAGCACAGCAATGTGTAAAGTTACTGTATAATTGGTTTCTGTGTCACTCTTGAATAAACAAGTGTTTAACTTAAAAACTTTATTGGTGATTGAGTTGACGCAAACTTTTCTGAGGTTTGGTCAACGAGGGGGAATTATTGCAAGTTATAGATAATTGTTGCCTTTTAAATGTAATTGTTTCCTGTTACTTCATATTTGAGTAGATTAAAAAACATTGAAGATTCTAATATTGCGTGTGTATGCTGCAAAAAATTCAAATTATAAAACCGCTGCAAGAGTAAATATTGATTTATTTGCTCATATATGTGCATCACTGTAAAATCTCAGTCTGATATTATAAAATTCATATGGGCAAAAAAAATAGGTGTACCATTTAAATTTTCAGTATTAAATAAATGGATTCAAGTCTTATGGCAGTGTAATGTCACTTCTTGTACAGCGCTTGTACTTCACGGCGGGCAGGAGGCCGCCATGAATACAGTAAAAAGTTTTTTAAGTGGTCTGGACTTTTATCCCCTCAGTCGGGGCTCCGCGTCCACTGTCACTTGCTCGCTTCGTTCTTAGGAGAGCAGTGCGAGTAGAGGTGGATGTTCATTTGGTTCTGTGGAACCACAGCGTTGCAGAAAGCGCATTTATTCGGACTGCTGCTCGGAGGCTCCTGGTCTGTCCCGGTGTCGGCTGCTTTGCACAAGTCAGGGCTCCAGAGAGACTGCAAAGCAGGAACAAAACAGGAAAGAAGTTTATTCACGCTGCAGTCTGTAAACATCTTATATTGTGCTCTAAAGCGACAAATCAAGCGTATTACAGCGAGGCTCTGTGGAAAGGTTATGAGTGATTATCCTACCTGTTGTGGATAGCTCTTTAAACGCCCTTGTTTGAGGCTGTTTGAAATAGCGATCCAAAATATTTTTGGCATCATGTACGAGTTCCACACAAGCCAACATTTCCACAAACTAAAGAGGTTCAGGACCTAAAAAAACTCCAAACTACATGTTTCAATAAATGTAAATATAACCGTCACTTCTGCTGATAGTAGCAGCTAGCCGTAGCACATCTGTTGCAACCCAAGAGACTTCCAGCAAAAATATCACAAGATTTCTGCCAGAATAATCCTGTAATGCAAAAATGGCTGCGTACAGATTTACTAAAATGTATTTGCATGAATTTCTACAAAATATTTTAGCACAGAGTTGTTTTGTTTTCTTTGGGATCAATGAAGTATTTTTAATTGAATTTGAATTGAATTGAGCTGAATTTAAGTTGGCACTATGCAGCTTTGGTTTTGGCTGCTGCTCATATGAGCCATTAGCTCATCAATTCAGCCAAAAATAAACCTTCTTTCTCCAAACGAAGGTTGTCTAAACAGCTATCTATAACAGGTAAGATATTAACTTCTCATAACCTTTCTGAAGAATCCCACTTTCACAAAATAGAACAGTTTCTTCAAGCATGTTTCTTTGAAAAGAAATACATGTTTTTGTAATCTCTTGCTATGCGAAGAAACAGCCAGAGTCAAAATAAATAAATAAATAAATAAAATCTATTCTCAAGTGTTTAATTATCTTCTTATTTCTGTTTTTATCCAAACTAACAAAAGCATAAATAAAGTGGACAAACTTTTAAATCTTACTCCACATCCCTCACAATTATTTCCTAGGCATTGATACACATCAGCAATCAAATCCTACAAAAGCCTCATATTTGTTCCAACGTGCTTCCATCTGGCCTCCACTTTCAAGCAAAGATGCCAAATATAACCAGAGTGTCCATGCTCAAATAAAAAAAGAGAAGGAATCTGCACACATTACATGGTAATATGTTTCAAGTTTAGCCAAGGAGATATTTTTGGATTTCACACTGCTTTATTCCTCCATTAGCAAAGACCAATCAGAAACTGATAATTTGCTACTACTTTTCTCAGACCTTCTCCTGTGTTTCTCACCTGCTGGGGTCCTCGCACACTCTCCCGGGAGGGTGAAGGCGACGTGGGGTGGGAGGGGGGTGTGGGATAGACAAAAAGCAGGGGCAGTTCCTCGGGCTTCTCCTCTGGCAGCTTCTCCTCTGGCAGCGCGGGAGAGGCGCCGCCGAGAGGCTGCTTCGTGGGCATGGCCAGATTAGGGTTTCTCTCCGGCGTACTGTTCAGAAAATCATATTCACTGTCCGCGGGGGGCGGGAATTTCACACTGAGTTTGGCGAGAGAGTCCGCAAAGTCTTTGTCCTCCTGAGCGGCGCCGCGGGACGCCAGAGACGCGGGCAGGTGAGGGATGTCCACAGCTGTCCGTAGCGCTGAGGAAAAGGGTTGCTCTGCCTCTGCGGTTCGGTCCGTGCACTGGATGGGCATGGAGAAGCGCTGATCTGTAAGAAGATGCAAAAAATGTGAGCTGGTCCAGCGGGGTGACGCAGTCAGAGTAATAACGCAAAAGATTTCTAGCACAATTTACGCAAAAAAAAATCTTTTAAACTTTTATATTCCAGTCCATGTGTGAAAATGTTTTCCCCAGTCTTATATGACTCAAAATACATACAGATCAGCTTAAAAAAATAACAGTTTTTATATGTAACCTTTATAGGTGATATGGAAAACAACAAAATAAGTAGCCAGTGCAAAGGGTTAGTAACACAGCTGAAAATATTCACTCGCTAGTTAATATCTTACTTGTAGATAATCCTTAGGACAACCTCAATTTAAAGAATTTGTTTAATTCTGACTGAATTGAAGAGCTAATGCCTAGTCCAAATAGTGAACATAAGTGAATTGACATTTCAAAACAACTCCAATCTCAAACAGTCCCCAATGTTTTATGTAAATAAAAGTATTTTTTTTAAACCTTTATACCTTATAGTTTTTTTTTTTCAGCAGAAATGTTTTCTTGCTGGAAATGCCCCATGATGCACCAGAAAAGCTACAGCTAGCTGCTGCCAATTCTATGTAATTACCTGTAGTTTAATTTTACAATAATAAAATAATAGCAGCAATAATAAAATTAAAATGTATTAAAGTTCTATTCTTATAGATGACAGCAATCCACCCTGGGCGTAGCTCCACTCAGTTGAGCTATTAGCTGGTCAGTCTAGTCGTATATAAACTATTTCTGCAAAGTGAGGATATTCGAAAAGCCATCTACAGCAGGTAAGATATTGCGTGTTTATAACCTCTCTTGAAAATATCTGAACATTTCTAAGCTCTGCACTTTGAAATACAGTTTTACTCCTATGCTTTAATATTGGGCTGATTAATTCAGACAATATTTCATGAATGCATAAAACATAATTCCACCTTAATTTTACCCTATTTTTAATTGGTGGCTGCTGTGAATTTTAAAAAGTAGTCGAAAGGTACATCTACAGAGAACATAGCACAATTCTTTTTGCTTGATTACAATTTAAAAAAAGAAAGATGGTAATTGTTTTCATTAAATTAAACAGTGAAAAAACGATTTGCACAAATTTAAAAAATGTTCATAATTATAAAAAGCCTTATTATTTTAAGGTATGCTAAAAGCAATACTTTAAAAAACATTACAGCAATTCTCAAATATGTCTTATGATCCAGTTTAAATTCTGTATAAAGACACCTCTCTCGGGCAATAATACTTTTATTTATTCATATTTTGCTGAGTTCATAATAAAAACAATTTTGGAAAAAAGTCAAGCAGAGTGTGTATCATAACACAAGTGTGGAAATATTACAAAAATCTTGCTTCAAACTGCAGTCTGCTCATGGTGTGTTTTTTCCCGCACAAGCATCTGCACATATTCTCACTTTGTCAGCAGAATGTGGATTTTTTTTTTTATCATATGTGACAACAACAAAACAGCTTTTCATGAAGCTGTGTGCAGATAAAGTTTCACTAAAGGAAGTTTTTTTCATTGGATTGAATTATTGTTTCAGTGTGATCAAGCTCGGCGTGTCTCTCACTTCCTGGCACGCGGCAGCAGATGTGTTGTGTCATTGTTTTGCTATCATGCAGATCTAATTGTCATCCTATTGGTTCGATTAGTGGACAAAGGGTCAACAAGCTGCAACTACTGTATTTTACATAATATGACAGGAAGTTTAGCAATCTGTCGTCAGAGGCGACATTTATTAACTCTTATGTATGCACAATTTGTGATGTATGCAGTCAGTGTGCTGTTAAAGTCCTTAAAACACAATATGAAAAGGGGCTTTTTGTGCAACCTGCAATTTTATGGTTGCATAGAAATGTTTTGCAGAAAATATAAATTGTATATTTGGTGTAACTCCATGTCAGTGCTGTCCTAACTATGTTTCACACTAAGTGTGTGGAGAAGCTGATGTGGATAAAACATTCATATGTGATCTGTTACATCAAACTGAGGATCAAGTCCCAAAGTGGTATGTGGAAAAATAGAAGAAGGTTTGTAATAATTGCATTTTGTCAAAACATAATGAATATCAATGGATCATTTAAATGAAATGTCTGAAATTAAGTCATTTTTTGAGCGGTAGCAACAAAAATAATGATTT